CACACACACGCACGCACGCACACACACACACACCCGCACACCCGCACACACGTACATTTACGCACACTTGCACACACTTACACACACACTTACACACACTCACACACACACTTACACACACACACACACTTACACACACACACCTATACACACCTACACACATACACAAAACTACACACACACACACGCACGCGCACACACATAGTATGAATGGCCGGGCGTTGCGAACCAAAAAAAGGAGTGGGGACCGACACCGAGTTTCACAACCCCAACGGTTTCCACAGCCCCAGGCTCCGCGGCGCGCTGTTGCGCGGCCTCCGCAGATCTCGCGAGGCCGCTGGCCTCCTCGGCCCTCGGGTCCGTGCCGCCCTGCCGCGGGGCCCCCGCGGCCCTGGCGGCACCGCGCCCCGAGCCCGCGGCGCCCTCCACGCCCTCGGCGGCGCCCCGATCGGCGCCGCGGCCAGCGCACACCCGCCGCGCCTCGGCGGCCCCCGCAGCGTTGCGCGCGGCGGTGGCGGCGCCGTCCGCCGCCCCCGCGGCGCCCCGCGTGGCGGCCGAGGCACCGTCGGCGGCCCCGGCGGGGGCGCGCTCGGTGCTGCGTCGTCGCGCCTCCGTGCCGCCGGCGGCGCCGCGCCCCGCGGCCGCGGAGCTCGCGCCCGCGGCGGCGGCGCGCTCGGCGCCGCGCGCGGCGGAGGGCTCGGCAGCAGCGGGGGCTTCGGCGTTGGGCTGGACGTCGCGGTTGGCGGCGCCGCCCTCGGCGGCAGCGGGGGCGGGCTGCTCCTGTGGCCGCGGCCCTGCTTTTTGTTCGATCGAAGCCCGAAGATGAACGTTGCCAGCTTCTCAGCTGAAGGGGGGGTCACTCCACCATGCGATTGAGCAGGCCGACGAGGAAAGAGCAGGGCGACGAAGAGAGCAGGCCGACGAGGTGCGGCCACGGCCTTTCTGCGACCGTGGCCCTGCTGCTGCTGCCGCTCGCCCCTCCTCGCTCTCCTGCGAAACAAGTGTTTGTTGCCCCAGCGGTGGCGAACGCGCACCGCGTCCGTAGCTTGAGCGGGGCCGCGAAATACGCACAAACAAGTGGGAGACAGAAGAAGGCGGCCGCACGGTCAAGGAGGCACAAGACACAGCTGGTCGAGGAGACACAAGACACGGACGGTAGATGGCAAAATACGACGTCCAACACAAACAGCCGAGATCAAGTGGTCGAAACTGTCCTGTGCAGCCAGCCCGTCTACAACAACCCATCACTTCAATCGGGCGAAGAAAATATAGATTAGGTCCGATTTGGCGACGACGTCGCCGACTCTGCATGGAACCGGGACCCGTCTCTGATCCACACGCCCTAATCCATGTTTGCGCTTCCCGGAGTCAGCGAGCGACTTGGCATTTTCGCACATGAGCATGGCGACGGAACGCGCCGACTCTGCACGGAAGCGGGACCTGTCGCCAATCCGCGAGCTTTGATCCATGTTGCCGTTTCTGCGAGGGTGGTGGCGGAGCAAGTCCTAGCTGTGGTGGCTGCGTCCTACTCCTCCTCCTTCTCCTCCTCGCCCCCCTCCCTGCTGCTCCTGGCGGTGGCGGAGCAGGCAGAAGAGGACAAGGAAGGCGAAGATCGTCACGGCTGCCAGCCAGGGCACGGGCTGGTCTCCGTCACCAGTTCTGACAATAAAGGCAGCATGAACATCAACTGTCCGATGTCCGCGCGGGTTTCTTGGATCTGCGCTGGAACCCCCTCCCCGGCGCGCGGAGCGCGCCGAGGGCGGCGCTGGAGGCGCCGCCAAAGGGGCCCCGGCGTCGATCCCAGGAATTCGCGCGGACCTCCGAGTTTATGATGTACGGCTCTGGCCCCGTGGCTCAAGAGGAGGTTCGTGGGCAGACGGGGCGTGGAGGTGGTCAGAAGGAAGCACTGGTCGACGCTCCGCCTCCCGAGAGGCGGACGAGACACGGGACGAGGAGGAGGAACAGGAAGGCGAAGGATTCGCCCATCTGCCCGGATTCGACGGCCTCTCTCCTCCCCATCTTTTTCTCGCGCCCGACCCCGAAGGGAGCAGGAGGAGGAGGAGAAGGAGAGGAGGGAGGAGGGAAAGAAAGAGTTGGAGCGAGCGAGCGAGCAGCAGCCGAGAGGCAGCAAGGTTAGTCCGCCCGACGGACGGGGGCGCTCAGAGACCCCCACCCCCAGGGCCTAGACGGTGGAACGCGGGGCCCGAAGCCGTCCACACTGCAGGGTCCAAGCCCGAGTGGGAGCGGGCCTCTGGACGCCGTGGGAAGCGGCCGCCTCGCCCGCAAGCGGGGGCACGGGGCCTGCGCGAGGTCCGTGCTCAGCGCCGCCAGGATCGGCGGCGAGCGAGGGGGGGCGTGACAAGGAGAAGGCCTTCTCAGAAGGCGGCGTGACTTCTCAGAAGCCCTCGCGCCATCTGATATTTGTTTTGCGTCTTCGGGGAAGGCCTGGGCAACTTCTTTGAAGGCCCAGGGGGCTTCGTAGTCTTCTGAGAAGGCCCGCCCCTTCTCACTCCCCCTCGGGCTCGCCGCCGAACTAGGTCGACCCGTGGCTGGGCGACTGCAGGACTCCCAGCGCGTCGCCAAAGGACAGCGACACGTCGCCGGGGAATTACACAAACGCGCTGACAAAAGCGAGGAACAAGCGTCAACCACGCCCAGAACTGGAAACAAAAAGAAGGGGGTCCCTTTTTGATCTCGACGCCGTGTGCTGCCTACTGGTGCCCAGAAAGAAAGTAGCACGAGGCGCACCACCACGCTGTGCAACCCATCCAATCATAGAAATACACTTGATGGAAATAGCCGGCGCCAACCTGACAGCAAGACGCCGTGTGCCGATCCATCGTTGGAACTACGGGAGCTTGACATCCACGGCCACGCGATGTGCAACCCACCAACACATGGGATTACGGAATATGGACCTAGCGGGCGCGCAGCAGCGAAGAAGACGCCGTCTGCTGGCCACCTACGTTTGGAACTACGTTTGGAACTCAGGAAAATGTCGAAGCAACTCCTTGCCGTGCGCCGCCCACCCACGACTGCTCCACGCTTCGAAACCAAACAAAACGCCAGGACGCCATCCCCTAAAGTGACGCCCACGGCCCAAAAGACTGCCCAGACCCGCCAAGCGGGAGAAACACGCCATACTGGAACCACGAGGCCGCTTAGCGGGGACGACGCCGAAGCGGCGACTTTGAACCTGCTGGTCTCTAGGGCTTCAGGATTTGATGCGCCAATCAGGCACAGGTGCTCAAACCGCGTCGTAGTCGTCATCATCATCGCTGTCTGTTTCCCGCGGAACTCCCATCTCCGAAACTTCGGGGCACTGCAGACCGTGACCCTTGAGAATGGCGGCAATGTCAAGATATCTATGCGGTTCGACCCTTACCTTACCTCTCGGCTTCGGGGGTGGCTGGGATGCTTCCGCCAGGCGGCCGGCCCATTCTTTGGACCTGCAAAAGGCCGCACGCACGCCGGAGATACCTAAGACGGGTTGCTTATTTGAGGTTTGCGGAGGCCCTAAATTCTCGGGTGTTCTTCACGATGCGCCCACTGCCTCCTTCTCTGCCACAACATATGTGATCCAGACCTCGATGCGTCGGGCTGCCTGTGTCCGTGTACTTGCAACAGCTGGTGCAGAAGATGAGCGAGTGCTCCTCTCCGTCCGCAGTGTACTGACAACGCATGCTTCTGATCGAGCCAAGGCCACATAAGCTCCTGCTCACGAGCAGCAGCATCATGCGTGGGTGAAATCGGGCTGTCATCAGCCTGCTCGGGGAAGGTGTAGTCAAGGCAATATTCGTCCTGCTCGTAGAATCATACTTCGAACTGGGCAGCGTAGGTGAGCAGCAAAGGAAGAGTCGGAGGAGTCGGAGTCGGAGTCGGAGTCGGAGTCGGAGGAGGAGGGCGGAAGAGCACGGCGGCACGGCGGGGCAGGGCGGGGCGACGACGAGGGGACGCTGGCGACGACGCCGTGCACAGAGCCCCGGTCGGCGGAGCAGCTCGCGCCGCGGCGGGGGCCAGCGCGATCCTTGCTCGGCGCCTTTGGTCTACGCTTGTCGGCCGCCGGCGCCGCCGCCGCCTCGGCCGCGCCCTCCAGGAGGAGGAAGAGGATGGGGATAAGGAGGAGGAGGAGGACAATGGCCTCGTCGGTACGACTCCAGGGCCGAGGGAGAAAGAGAGAGAGAGAGAGAGAGAAAGAGAAAGAGAGATAAACAAAAAGAGAGGGAGAGAGAGAGAGAGAGAGAAACAGGAGGACGACGAGGGTGAGGGGCGAAGGGGCGGAGGAGGGAGGGAGGGGGAGGGAGAAGGGAGGGGCGTAGGAGGGAGGGAGGGGGAGGGAGAAGGGAGGGGCGTGGGGAGAGGCAGGGAGGGGGAAATGGGGGGGAGGGAGGCGGGGGCACGAGGAGGGGGGAGGGAGGCGGGGGCACGAGGAGTAGGAGGCGCCAGGATTCCAAGATGGGCCCAGAAGGAGGGCTGGCGGAAAAGGGGGGAGGGAAAAAGGGGTACAGGCGAAGAGGGGAACCGGGCGGGATGCGGGGGGTGTGCAGAGGGGCAAGGAGAAGGGCAAGGGCAGGGAGGGCGGATGGGGGCGGAGTGATTGAGGGGGGTTGGGGAACGGAAGGAGAGTGGTGTGAGGGGAGATGCTGAGACGAAAATGAGCATGGGCGGAGGTGGGTGAAGGGGAGAGGCGGGGGAGGGGGAAGGGCGTCTCCCTCCTCCTCCTCCTCCTCCTCCTCGTCCTCCTCCTACTCCCTTCCCTTTGCCATTTGCCTCCCCCTCGCACCCTATTCTCTTCCTCTTACTCGCTGGCTGCCGTCGCAACCGCCGCCGCCGTGACCATCGCCGCCGCCCTGGCCGTGGCAGCGGCCGCCGCCGACGTCGCCACCGCCGCCGTAGCACTGCAATGACCGCCGCCTGCTGCGGGGGCTCGGGTTCTGCCGGCTGCGCGGGCAGCGCGTCCTCGCCGCCGGGCGCGCCGGCCGAAGCGGGGCTTTGCCGTCGCCGTCGCTGCGAAGCGTCAGGGTCAATGTCGGCAGTGTCAACGTCAGCAACGGCGCTGTCGCATCGTCGCCGCCGTCGTCGCCGTCGCAATAATCGACGTCAGGGATCGTCGTCGCCCTCCTCCGTAGCCCTCGCTCAGGCCCGTTGCCGCGCTTTCGGGTGACGAGGTGCTGTAGTGTGAAAGAGGTGCATCGGGGGTCCTCCTCCTCCTCCTCCTCCTTCTCCTCCTCTTCCCCTTCCTATTCTTCCTCATTGTATTATTACTACCACCATCATTATCATTATTATCATTGTTTAATATCCATATTATTATCATTCGTATTCTTCATCTTATTCGTATTATAAGTATGTTCCTTTTTCTTCTTATGAATATCGTTGTTTGTGTATTACTACCAATCTCACTACCAGTATTATTAGTAATGGTAGTATTGTTGATCTGTTGTTGATGCTTATTATTATAATTAGTGCTCTGTTTCATATTCCTCTGTTCATATCTATTATTCATCCTCCTCCTGTTCCTGCTCCTCCTCCTTTTCCTTCGGCTCCTCCTCCTCCTCCTCCTCCTGCTCCTCCTCCTCCTACCCCTCCCTCTTCTCCTCCCCCTCCCCCTCCCCCTCCCCCTCCCCCTCCTCGTCCTCGTCCTCGTCCTCGTCCTCGTCCTCGTCCTCGTCCTCGTCCTCGTCCTCGTCCTCCTCGTCGTCCTCCTCATCCTCCTGCTCCTCCTCCTCCTCCTCCTCCTCCTCCTCATCCTGCTCCTTTTCCTCCTCCCCATCCTCCTCCCGCTCCCCTCCTCATCTCCTCCTCCTCGTCCTCCTCCTCCTCCTCCTCCTCCTCTCCCTCTCCTCCTCCTCCTCCTCCTCCTCCTCCTCCTCCTCCTCCTCCTCCTCCTCCTCCTCCTCCCCCTCCTGTTCCCTCTCCTCATCCTTCCCCTTGGAAAGAGGTGCTGGAAAAAGCGATGAGCACATCGGGACGCTTCCCCTCCTATTCCTCCTGTGAGGCTTAGGCTCGGGCTTAGGTAGACGAGAAAGAAAGGGAAGTAACCCAGGGACGGGGAGCGGCGGCGGCCGCGAACGGGCGGTCCAGGAGTTCCTTCCAGCGACCACGACGAGGACGAGGCCGACGAGGAGGGCTCCCAGCGCGCATGCAGGGAGGGCGGGGGGGGCGGGGCGGGGGAGGACGGGGGCGACGGGAGGGGGGGGGGGCAACATCGAGAGCGACAACAGGGGACGGATGGGGGCAAAGGAAGGGGAACGAAAAGGAGACGCGGCGATTGACGAAGAAAGGGGGGCGACATCGAGGGCGGAAACGGTCAGGAATGCACATCCGCGTTCGAAGGCCGGTCGGGCCAACGGGCGCGCGAAACTGATCAGGATTTTCACGGGTAGCAAGAGCAAATGGGAAAGCAACGGAGAAGGCGGATGAGAAGGAACGGGAAGGATGTCACACCGTAACAAACAAGGGAAACGGGTGAGCAGGACCAGGGGGAGGAGGAGGAGGAGGAGGAGGAGGAGGAGGAGGAGGAGGAGGAGGAGGAGGAGGAGGCGGAGGATGAAACGGGGGGAGAAAAGGAGGAGGCGGAGAAGGAACAACGTTTCTCCCCTTTACACCATTACATGCTTGAGGTGTCCCGGACTGGCCGCGCCACGGACTGCGTCCCGCAGTGCTTGGGTAGGCATGGGTAGCCAAGCGCACTGTCCAAACTTATGCCTGAAAACATCCAAACTGAACACGTGGCGACATGTGCGAGGGAATGGTTGGCCGAAGGGCCGATATCCTTCCGAGTATCCGTTGGTAAGGGCGGCCATGTAAAATGAATAGCGATGATGGTTGTCTCCACTAGTCCAATTGTTAAACGCATGTTCGCCCATGCGCTCGATCCGAATTGGGCAGCGGGCGCAGGAAGGATACGACAAGCACGGGTTCATACGCGCCCACCGCCCGCCCCGAAACCTGACTCGCGAGACCCCGGAGGCGAAACGCAAGGGAAGAGGTTCGGGGGCGCAGGAACTGGGCCCCGACCTCGCCTGGCTGTACACCGCACTGTAAAGCCCCAGTCGGCGAAGGCGAGGGAGTTAAGCAGGGACTGCCAGTCATGACGCCCTCCTTTCCACCCGCGGCGCAAGCCTCAAACACGCTGTCTAGCGCTAGCGGGAGTGGAGGAGCGTGGAAAAGCAGGGTGAAACAAAATAGCTGAGTGCATGCTTGGGCAATCGCGTCGCTCGTGGGACCCGAGCTGGGCGGATGCATGAGCATGGCGTAAAAACACTTGGACGCCGCGGTCAGGACTGCCCCAATCGGCAGGCGACCCAGCACAGACAACCTCCTCTGACTGGTCTCCAATCGCGTGGAGCTGAAGCCAGAGGCGGAATCGGTTGCACAGCCAGCGAAACTGCGCGGCGTTCCGAGGACTGGCCGACCGAGAACCGGCAACCGCGGGATCCTCCACAGCGCCCACCCAGCGCAACTGAGTCAGTCGGCCGCGGCTGCCCGTGAACAAATCTGCGTTTGGAGAACCCCCGTCAACTCTCTTTCAGCCACGACGGCCCACTCACGATTGACGACATCGAGGTTATACTGGGCGCGGCCCCGGTCGCCTTCCAGCGCCGTGCTGCGCGTTGTCCGACAGGCGCCCCAAGGAGTCCCAGTCCCCGGTGGGGGGGGGGGGGGGGGCAGGGGCAGGCCCCGCAAGCCTCTCCTTAAGGGCGGGAGGGGGGGGGGGGAGGTCTGCGAAAGCTCAACGTCTTGAGGTGGGGCAGCTGTGGGCGGAAGGTCACGGAAACGGGGTCGTGGGTTGCCAGTCCCGGGTCGCCGATGCACTTGACGTTAGCCACCGCCTGCGCCATCCGAGCCTCCATCAAGAGGTAGTCGTGCATCCTGACTCCTGCTGTCGAGCGGCTGGTGCCCAACGCGCCCGCGGGAAACAGCGTCTGGGGGCCCAGTCCCCTGTGGAGATACGGCGCAGCCGGGGTCGAACGTTCCAAGTTGAAGTCGCCCCCGATGACGTGGGGGCTCGAAACGCTTTTGACCCCGGCGGGCACCGAGGCCAGGGGGTCGTGGTTGAAATCGTTCGAACCAACGCAGTCCTGGAGGTAAGCCGCAACAACATAAAACGACCTCTGACCTGGAAGGTGGATCAAAACTCCAGCGGTACGGGTCGGTATCAGGCAGGCGCCAAAATCGGGGGCGTGTAACCCCAGGAAAGAACGAGCGAGCGCAGCCACGCCAGCCGAGAGCCCACCGTTTGGGCCCAGGGTGCCTGGTTCAAAATGTGACTTCCACCCGTTTCGAATATACCAAGCCTGCGCTTTGCGGATTTTCTCGGCGCCGATGAGCTCGCGCCCCTGGCGCAGCAACGCGTGGGCAGCGGTCAGGGGCAGGAGCTGCTTCGTCGAAGCCCACGACGCGCAGTTCGCGGCGACGAACTCCAAGCTCACCGGATCCCACTGTTCCCCCTCCGTGCGATGACCAGACGCGTTCCGCGTGGCATCCAAAACTGGGCAGGAGGGGGTGATCATGGGGCAGGGGGAGGAGTTCGTCACCGCAGACGTGTTACCCACCAGCTGGCTTGCCTCAAGGGGCCCCCTCTGCTTCGCCCTCTCAGCGGGCCTGCTCGCGGACATCGGGGGGGGGGGGGGGGGCAGAAGTCGGGGCGGCCTCTGGAGGAGCCTGAGCGGCATGCGCAAACTCCTTCGGAGTGCTTGGAGCAGCGGGCACAGCATATCAGATCTAGGAGAAGGCTGCGCCGGCTTGGACAGCTTTCCTGGGGTCATGAGAGAGATGGCCAGCTGCCGCTGCGGGGGGGCGCTCCCGCAGGTGGGGGGTCGGCCTCGCGAGGTGGCCGAGCGGCTCCGTCATGGGCGCTGGCAGCTTCTGCTCCGCGACGCTTCTTCCCCGAAAGCCTGGCCCCCTGCTCTGCCTGCTCTGCCTTGAGCTTCTCGGCCTTCTCCTGGAGCTCGCCGAATGGGCGGGGGCAGGGGTCCTTGATGGTGGTGGCGAGCAACGCTTTGCGAGCGGCTGCCTCCTGGATGTCGCGCCCCTCCACGTCCGCGTGCCCCGCCAGGCCGAAGGTCGTCGTCGTCCACCTCGAGGCCTGTGGGGCGCCCCTCCAGGATGTCGGTGATCGAGACCTTGGGCGCCTTCTCGGCCGGCGGCTCCATCGTGGCGTGAAGCACGGCGACAGCCTGCTTGCACTCAGCATCGCGGCGGTCGAGCTCGGCCAGAGTGGTCTCCAGCTGCTCGCGCTCGGTGGGCAGCTTCTCCTCCAAGCCGCGGACTGCCTTGAGCGGGCGATCAAGCTCGCCCTCCAGCCGCTGGATCTCCTTGTGAGCCGCATCCGCGCGCTGCTGCGGAGGCGCCTCCGCCGCGCGCGCCTTGGCCAGCTCATGCTCGGCCTGGGCAACCACGGCGGCGTTCCCAGACTTCTCGGCCAGGGGCGACGAGCTGCTCCAACTCAGCGGCGGTGGCGGCTGCGGAGGCGGCGGCAGGCGAGGGCGAGGCGCGCTGGCCAGCGGCCGCGCCTGCAGCCTCGCGGCGGAGGGCTGTGGCGTCGCCGCGCGGAATGGTCGAGGAAGTCCCCTCTGGGGGACTGGCTGGGGCATCGTTCCACTGACGATTACAATGCTTGCGCTGTCCGTGGGCCCAATCGTTCTTGCAACCACGACCAGTGCAAGTCCAGCAAGCGCCTGGACCAGCCCAGCGCGAGGCGGCGCCGTGATAGGGGGGGGTGACGTAATTCGCCAAAATGGCTCGCTGTCACCCAGACGCTCTGAAGAGTCAGCGACAGCAAGCCCAGGTCACCAGTGCCAGAACGGCTGAGGCAAGGAAGAGGGGGAGGAAGAGGAGGAGGCAAGGAGGAAGAGAATGATGAGAGCAGGGAATCGCAGCAGGAGGACCTCCCCCCCGCACGCCCTCCCGGTCCCCTCCCCGGCCACCCCCGCGGCGCCGCCCCCGGCACCTCC